GCCAAGTAAACACGTGGCTACTTCATGAAATGGCAAAAACTATTTGATCATATTGTAAAGTAGTTACATTAATTACCGGTAGAAGCGCTGCAAGCGCTTTGTTTATATGTATTAGGCGGCCGCTGCCGACAATGTTGTTTCTCGCAGTGAAAAAGTGCATAATTCGTTATTTCATCATGATGTGGTTTGGGCAGATCTATGATGAGAAATCGTTTCACGATATGGCCAAGTAAACACGTGGCTACTTCATGAAATGGCAAAAACTATTTGATCATATTGTAAAGTAGTTATATTAATTACCGGTAGAAGCGCTGCAAGCGCTTTGTTTATATGTATTAGGCGGCCGCTGCCGACAATGTTGTTTCTCGCAGTGAAAAAGTGCATAATTCGTTATTTAATGAGGAAGAAAGTGATAACAAAAGGGTTTTCGACGAAACAAATTAAGGAGAGTAGGGTGACTACGCAAAAGAAATCTATGGACTATTACTGGTTATCAAAATGTGACATTTTGGAAACTGCGGTTGAGGTACAAAGTGCGGATGAGAAACAATGCCGTACAAAGATATACTGTAAAACTAAACTTCCAGGGCCCAAGAGGTGATACTTGAATTTCTTTTGTAGAAAAGGTATCTTTTAAATAGAGTTTTTTTTCTGGCGCTCCGCCGGCCGCTGCCGCGGCACGCTCGATTTGCTCGCTCGGCTCGCGCGTTATGGTCACAACACTTACCTAACCTAACCTAGTGTGAAGTAGTGATGTAACGAATGTCATTTTTTGAACATTCGCGAATGCGAATGCGAATGTCTGGTACCGACATTAATTATAATTAGTTTTTTTTAGAAATAATATAAATTAAGTTAATATAATTAGTTTTTTTAATTCGAATTTCGATTCGAATTCGAATATTTAGTTTTTTTTTAAATTGGCGCCAATTGTCTATGGCATGGTGGCAGTCTCGTTCGAATTGCCGAGTTGATATGAACTCATCCGACTGAAGTGTCATTCCGCTCGCACCGGTCTTTCCGTAAACAAAACAAGTGAATTTTGAGGTTAGTGATTGTGAGTGGTAATAGTGATTTATTAACATGAGTAAATCGAATCCTAGTGAAACATGGACTTATTTCACACTTTGCGATGCTGAACGAGCTAAATGCAAACTGTGTAACAATGAATATTCAAGGAAAGGCAGAATTACAACTTCTTCAAATTGTTTTTTTCTAATATTCATATTCGCAAAACATTCGCAGAGATTTTGCGAATGCGAATGTGAATGCGAATATTCAAAAATATGCGAATATTCGCGAATGTGAATGCGAATATTCGTTACATCACTAGTGTGAAGTATTACCGTTTGGGCCCTGGAAGAACAGTTAAGCCTATTATTGCAATATTTACCAAAGTGCCTATTATTTCTAAATATTTGATAGTTTTCTAAATATAAATGAGTAAGTTCTTGACATGTTTGATGTTTAAATTAGAAAAAAAACTTTAATTTGTTTATTTTGTTACAAAAAATTGATTTTTTTTGTGCCTTCGGACTTAAATAACATTAAACAAGTTCTTACATAGACTGGATTTTTAATAAATATTTTATGGACACCCTAATTATACGATCCGGCCAAATGTGGATGACCAAATCGTTAAATGTTGACGATTTAATGATCTGGTCAAATTAAGTTGCCCACATCATGAAATGTGACCATTTCATGAAATTCTTGAGCATTTCATGAAGTGAGCAAATCCACGATATGACCACGACATATACATATCATCCTTTATAATCTAAGTACGCGGTTGCTATGACTGGAACATCATCTACAGTCGTTTCAAATTACGTTTAAAATCAGAGGTTAGAGTTCGGGGTAAAATTGTGGGTCCTATAACGTGACCGGAATTAAATTCCGAAGACTACTTTAGATTTTATAGGTTATATGCAATACTGTACGCTGTAGGTACATATTTTAGCTCATCACGTTTAGAACTAGGACTGTAGCTGACTGAATGCCACTGAAAGGAAGCGGAACCGCACACAAGAGATGTAGAGCGAAAGCCCGGCTTTAAACCACTTAACGGTTCAACTCATTCAAGCTACATTAGCGCTTAATTGTATAGCAGGAAGTACTTTATTTGCTTACACACTTCATACTTGCGTTTAATGTTACAAATTTATTGAGAGAATAAAAGCTCTGGGATGGGTAGTTATAGTCACTGATGTACACAGGGATAGATTTAAGCATTCATGGACATTTTTATAGTAAGTTATGTTTCTGAGTGATTAATTTAATTATCATGTAGGCAGTACATTTAACCATTTTGCATATTATAATACTCTTATTCAAGTATCTTAAACTGCAAAGCTCATATAAGAAAACAAATTGTATTATAGAAAACGAAAAATGAGGATGAATTAATCGACGAAAATAAGGTCTGCAGGTAGAATTTGGGCGGACCACGTATTAAAATAATAAATAAATCTATCTGTAAAAGTTTAGTGCGCGACTTCGTTTTTGGAATTATGTAGACATTATTGTACCTACGAGATTACATAATAATCACACTAATAATATAAAGACGAAAGTTTGTGAGTGTATATTATGTTTGTTACTTCTTCACGCCTAAACGACTGAAGCGATTTTAATAAAATTTAGTATGGAGTTAGCCGACACCCTGGATTAACACATAGGCTACACGGCACATAGGTTTTACTGCGAGAAAATATCCTTAATAAAGCGCGGGTAAAACCGCGGGGCACAGCTAGTTTAAATATAATCTTGTAAACGAATAATGGTTTTCCGAATAGCGGCTGAAGAACTGAATAAATGAAAACATATAAAGGCTGCAACGTCAGAAGAGATAAATGAATTTAGTTTAGTTAGTGGGAAAGTTTAGTTGGATTGCCTCGGAAAGTCAGAAAACAAATATTTTCTTTAACGTACCTACTTATCATTAAGTGACAGTCCCACAAAATTAATCCAAAGTTCGGATAAGCACAAAGCCAAACGGTCGAGGACTTTGCAACGATTGCTGGTGGCATATCGTGACATAAAATCTCTTGAATTTGAAATGACTCTGTAAAATTTCGTGTTATCATTTAAAAACGACCTCTGTGGCTCGAATGGTATGTACCCCGGTTTTCAAGGTGTCTTCTACTCGGAGGTTTCGAATACCGGTAGGGAAAATGTTTGTGTGATGCTTACGAGCATTTGTAGCTTATGGATCAATTACACTTGGCCGTAAGGCCGAATACGATTGCCAATGGAATTTGTTTACCCAAATGAACAGTGTTGAGTACGCCTAGTATTCGGGCAGTTTTCGTTACCCGACACCGTCTTCCAGTCTGTATCCTAGTGTAAATATTGCTTCGGGTGCCCGAATACGGGCTAAAAAAGCTTTGTTCGATAAATCGAAAGTCATTTCGAAGTAAAATTATGTAAAAACAATAATCAAGTAAAAGTAAACCTATAAAAATGTTTTATAACTTCTTGTTAAGATGATTACGGCACACAAGAAACCTGTTGTATACCAATTTTGTGAATGGCGGAGCTTTCCGTATGTGAGACCATAAAACGATAACAAAAAAGGTTAGTAGACCATGTCGAATTTTTAAATACAATTCGAGTAATTAGGCAAAAATCTTATTTAAATTGCGGAAAAATATTAATTATAAAATATTATTAACGGGGGTTTTCTAGACGTTAAAACGCTTTTATATCGCTCACGTCTTGTAATTTCAATATACGGTCGATTTGAAATCGATTAATCGAAAAATCGACTATTTAGAGTAATATAATCGATATTTCAGATCAATTTTGAACCCTACATCGATTCAATGAATCGATCAATTAATTATTAGTTTAGTGGTCGCAACTTCTACTACTACGCACTACAGCTGAGGAAAAGATCCTGGGTTCGATCCCTACCTCTACTTATTCTTCTATTTCTGGAATATAGGCGTGATATTATGTTTATGAATTATACTTCTTTCAAATTACTTGTATTTGGGGTAAATGGTCATCAATAATGTCCTGTATCTATATTAGACAATTAGGCATGTTTCAAATTGGCGCGAGTAATCGAAAATCGATCTTTTAATGGTCGATTTAAACAAGAATCTATTCTAATATGTTTGATTTGAATCGAATCGGAGATGGACATTTTTTAAGGTGAATCGACATGCCTATCAATATTACGTTGAAGTATAAGACACCCAGAGCTTATGAAGCAGCACAATAAAAAATGGCCGCCGTGAAAAAAAGTGCTTGCGAACGAATGACACTTTTACAGCACTTTTTCGAGTCGCGTTTTAAAAGCGCTCTTGCCGTGCGCTCAGTGGTCTAATGGTTTAAAGTCAAAGCTCGGGGGTTAAGTTAGAAGAAGTCCTTGTTTAGAGTTGTGCCATATACTTCTAATACTGTACTCGCGAAGTTACCCGAGGTTGAACTACAGATTACTTAGATACTTAGTACAGAAGAAAAGATCAGTTCTGCAGTTAGCAGTCTGTGGATCAACCTCGGGTAACTTTGCGAGTAGTGTAGTGGAGGAACACATACGTGTTGTGTAGTCAATTGTTTTTGCGGGTGAAATTATTACACACCGTTGATGGGCGCCAGTTTGACTAGCTCCTGGTGGCGGATTTACCCGGGCGGGCGCGTCCCCTCCTCCATTGAGGACAACGGGCGCGAATGAATACTACGGCACCCATACCCATTCAGCACTTTTAAGAAACCGCGTTTAAAAGCGCTCGTGCCAATAGAGTCTAAGGCCCGTATTACAGAATGACAACTAAGTGTTGATCTTTACTTGAGTACAGTTAGAAAGGGATGTCGCTATGTGCTATACATAGCGACATCCCTTTCTAACTATGCTCAAGACTAGATCAATCACTGAGAACCTTTCTGTAATACGGGCCTAAGTGTCAGATCAGAGCTGGACAGGGTAGAGCTGAAGAATGGTAAGTACTTAGAGTTCTGTTTATGTGTCGTCGAGTGTTATGGATAAATACCTTTAATGGGTGGTAGTTTGACCAGCTCCTGGTTGTGGTTGTGTACGTTGAACCTGCTGGATCCATGTCTGCGCGGTTGTCCGTTCCACCCGGGCGGGCGCGGCCCGTCCGCCGCTCGGGGGACTATGGGCGCGGGCGGCGGCGGGCCTGCCGCTAGTGTGGACAACGGTTTCTCTGGGCGACTCTGGTGGACAAAACAAACGAGTATATGAAAATCTGGAAAACAGAATTTTTTTTGACCTGATGTTTCGGCGAAGCGCTATGTTAGAAAAACATGAGCTTGATCTTTTGGATATACGGAGCACGATTATAAGAGTATTGCAATTCGAAAATGGGCATAAGTGGGCGGCGGCCAACAGTTAATGACGTACTTCGGTTTATTAGTGCGACCTTGATTAAGACTAGGATTGTTTGAAAATTCTGTTCATGTAGTTTATTGGGTCTACCTTGTAACGTAGTACTTTTAATGCCATAATATTATTATGCATATTAGCGGGTGGCATAAACTTCATTTCGTAGAAAATCATGTGGCATTTAGCTCATTTTTGACACTCATTTAGCAGACATTATAACGCATTATTTTTTAAGACAGAATCTTCTTTAGGCATAAAATAATATCTGCAATAGTTAAAAAGTAGAACCATCATATCGCAGAAAGTTCTCAGTCAGAATCGTCTTTTACATATACATGCATACATTTTCCTTATTTTCTTGTTTTTTTAATTATCTTTGGTGACTGGTGCTTCGCCGGCCGCTGCCGCGGCACGCTCGCTTCGCTCGCTAGGCTCGCGCTAAGATTACGTCACAATACTAACCTAACCGAACCCACTGATCACAAATACCAATTATGCTTAGCGAAATTATACAGAATAATTTCTGCCATCTGGAAATAAAAGTATGCTATGGTGAATTCGGCATATAAACATCCGACCAATTAAACATTATACTTTTAAAAAAATGTACCTTACATAAAATCGTTTAAAGAATATTAGGCCAAGTGCGGTATGCCAAATGAATATTGGAGCAACAAAATTCTGCCAGATAAAGGGGAACCCTTGGTTTGTCTTTAACTTGACACATAATACTTGACATACGTGTGCGAAGTGTCCAGCTGAAGCTAAAGTATTTTTATAGAATAAAATTATTAACTTCTGGATCTAATCGCAAATAATAGTTGAAGCCCTTTCAAGGATGAAGGGATATATGGCGTGAAACGAATCTACGTATGAAATGTTAATGAAATAATTGTATTTTTCCAATAAACTAAACAAGGTGAAGCAAGTGTCTATATCAGTAGTTGTACTAGATAACATTGGTAAAAGGTGAACATACAAATTGTAACACGTTATCTATGATAAATATTGCTTGAGTACCTTATACCTAAATATAGTATTGTAAAAAAATTGGTTGTTACAAAGAAAATACAATATTGAAAAACGAAAATATGTTCTTCATATATGAAAATGTAAATGAGCATTCCATTACAATTTATTTATTCATGGATAACAAACGGCATGTTATAAACTGAGGATAAAACAAAATAATGTAGTAGTTTCTTACTTCTTCACGTGTAAACGGCTGGAGCGATTTTAATATCATTTTAGTATGGAGTTAGCTGACATCCTGGATTACAATTAAACAGTAGGCTATGTTTTTTTCCGGGAAAATATCCCTAATAAACCGCGAGTAATACCGCGGGGCTCAGCTAGTTGGTTACTATTTTAAAGAAAAAGAAAGTAACCATATTACAATATAGTAGAATGTATCTACCGAATGAAATGCTTTCCCAGTTATCATAAAATTTGTATTCATCCGAGATCTAATGTAAAATTTTGCCGACCTATATTAGTTGCTGCTACTCAAACATAATATAGCGAAGGTACGAGTGTAGGACGAATGGTTCGGAGCACATACAGACACAATGGCGAAGTAATTTGTGTCACTCGTGACCCATATAATGACGCACGGAGGGAACCTGATAACTTATGAATGCTTGGTGACTACCTAACTAACTTCAGTCGTATACGTAAAAAGAACAAGTTACACTGTAATGTAACTCCTACTCATATCAATTTGGAATAAGTAGATGAATGAACGGAAATTTATGTTAATTAAGGAATGACGACCTCCGTGGCCGAATAGTACGTCGTAGTCCCATACACTGAGGTTGCGGGTTTGAATCTAAGGGGAACAAATTGTACGATGAATACCTTAGTCATGGATATATATACATATATATTTCTATATAAAATATGCTTATATTATATATGAGTAAATTATGTATTCTAAACCGTATAACACAAGCCTTACAGTGCTTTCTTTGGGGCTAGGCTAATTGGCTTGTGTTAAAAAAAATAAAGAAATAGAAGAAGAGTCGTATGTCTTATGAACTAATAGATACTTATAAAAACGGATAGAAATCTAATACATAAAATTCTCGTGTCGCGGTGTTTGTGGTTAAACTCCTCCTAAACGGCTCGACCGATTTTCGTGAAATTTTATATGCTTAGGTCTGAGAATCGGATGTAATCTATTTTTCATCCTCCTAAATGTTAAGGGTAATCCACCCTTAATTTTTTTTTTTTCAATTTTAGATAAAAACATTTTTTTTCATTTTTTTATGATACATAATACAAAAATACATACAGTCCTAAATTTGCACCCTTCTACCACCAACCCTTACTTTTTTATGGCGGTACGAAGTTCGCTGGGTCAGCTAGTAAATAAATAAAAATAAGTAAAGCAATGCCCATCGTCACACGGCCACACCCACCTCACCTTCACCACAGATATTATGCTAGCGGGCAAGTTTCTTGCGCTTGTATGTGATAATGCAAAGGTACATAACGTGAACCAGTCTTATTAGGCGCGGGATGTGGCTGTGTGTCCAGCGCCTCTGAATATACTTAAACTGTAACAGCCGTACTCCGAAACGTCTTAATACTTTAATGCTTAATTAAGTCACTTGTCATTTCATGCTGTTGTTATTGCAAAGAAAGTGACGAAATCAACAATAGTCAAGCTTAAACGTTAACTGCCTTCTTTGAGTGGAGCAGTAAATGTTTTTTTTTTATAGCCAGGTAGGCATATGACTCTACCCCACCTGATGTTAAGTGGTGATAAGTCCAAACGCAAAGATAGCTGGTACAGCAGTTATAAACTGCCAAACCAACCATCCTCACCTTGCCGGCCTGCAAAAATCCTTCTTCACGACTCTCATAAAGGATCCGAGATTGTCTAGAAAGAAATGAGATTTAGGGTACTTTGAAGAAAAACGGCATCAGTGTGTGCTTGACCGGAAGCATCATGCGAATGTTTGTTTACAACTTTGACTTCATTTGCGACTTCTTAGTTACATAACCGCTGTAGAGACACTAATACATATTCTGTGCTGAGACTTACGAGTTTTTTACTACATATTAGTAAATACACGATCACCACTTTCACTTATTTCACTAATGTTTGTGCAATGCGAGAAGCTGCTGTGGAACGTGAAAATACTACAACAACCAGAAGGTAGCAGTCATGAGTCACATAACCCTTTATGCCTTTATGTTCTTACTAGCGGCCCGCCTTCGCTTCGCTTCGGTGTAGATAAAGTGTAGACTACAGTTTTTGTTATCAAGATTGTATTATACACAATGACATTCATCTATGATTCTTCTTATACCTGCATGCAAAGTCTCAGCCTGATCGGTTTAAAATTGACAAAGTTTCATACAAACTTTCATTCCCCATTTTATCCCCTTGGGGGTAGAATTGATCAAAATCCTTTCTTAGCGGATAACATAACATAACATCTACCTACATGCCAAATTTCAGCCCGATCCGTCCAGTGGTTTGGGCTGTGCGTTGATAGATCACTATGTCAGTCAGTCACCTTTGAGTTTTATATATATAGATGTTCCTTCTTCCTTCCTTGGAGACAGGCACCTCTATTAACGGGTCGGAGTGGGCTTGTTTCTTTACCGAATGCATATAATGAGACAAGCTTAAGCAATCCATGGATTCACTGTGCGGGTGCCGGGTCCATCATGTGGGAGAGAGAGAAACTTTGAGTAGTTCCCGGGACTTGCGACCCAGTCCCCGTAGCATGAGCACCACAATTTACATTATATCACGTTTTTTATTTCGTCTAACCGTTAAACTCCATAGTGATAAAAACGCGTTATATATCATATCGCTTTGCTCATGCTAGGGGGGCAGGTGTAGGTTTAAGGAGGCAGGGGGCCTCCTGCGATGCACATCGACGTTCACCTTCACTGCTCGAGTTGCCCGCCCTTCCTAGCCAAATTTGATAGGAGCCTGTTAGTCTGAGGCGTCCCGGTGAAATGGCGCACACAGAGGTGCGCAGGTCCCGAGACGCTTCCACATGGGTGTAGGAGGGTACCGGTGAGTTTTAATGGGTAGGACCGGCGCTGTATCCCGCGCCGGGTGAGTCCCACACACGCCGTGCGCCTAGCCAGCGCACTGTACGGTCGGTCAAGGGATTTCTCATCGTTAAAAAAAAAGAAAAAAAAGGAGCCTGTTAGTCCAGCCTTGTCACTCGTTCCAAAATTGAACTCACTGCAGTTCTCGACAGGTCTTTCTCAGGTCTTCAGGTTCTCAGATCGTTTAGGTTTAATTTAATGAGTAGTTTCTACAGTAGTTTTTACCGAGCGAATACACAGCTTTCTGTACTGCCGAATGTGTGAGTGCTTCCGGATGCTACCGAACTATTCGACTTGCCCGTTCCGTCACTGCCGCAAACAAAACGAAACGACATCGCACCGGAGCCGGTAAACTAGTGGTCCTTGGTAAATAATCTGTACACATTCGGTACAGAAACAAATGGATCGAGCCCACACAGACCTGGTGAGGAAGGTGCCTAAGCACGGTTTCCATAGCTTCACGGGGTAGGAGGAGATGGTTTTAGGCACAGAACACAGAGAGACGTCAGAAGGAAGTTTCGGGCGGGGTGGGTGCGCCACAGTTATTGTGAGCAAATGCTCATAACTTGACCAAAATTGGTTCTGATTGCGTCGTTGCTCTCGGGTGTGAGTGATGATTGATTGTCTATTAGGTGGAAGTGTAGTGGGAGCGAGTGTGTTCTGTGGTTTTAGGGTAGACAGCGCTAGTGATAAAGAGTATCGGAAGAGTCTTAAAATAGTGAACGCTTGCCTATACTCGTTTCCTTTATGTATA